GCTAAGTGTCAGAAGAATGATGCAGGGTTGGGGCACTCCATGAACAATCACCGAAAAAGCCCAACCATTTACCAACCAAAGGTTCATGAGCAGCGAACCTGCTCCAGGTCTCTCTGCGGTGCGCATGCCATCTGCCGCTATTGCTGCTTCGTGGAATCGCACGCCGCTCCTTCCACAGGATTGGAGACACAGCTTATGAAGAGAAATGTACAGCCAGGGCCCAAACCTCAGTTATTAGAAATGTTACCCCACTCACAAGCAGTCTGGAACCTGTCCTCCGAATTCTTACGCTTGAAAAAACCGCAATCCCGTTTTCGTTAGTAAAACCTATCACGTATTGTTCTTCTAGAGCAAACTGTTAAAGCCAGCCTAAGTACTCCCCTCTGCCCTTGAAAAACTTTTCTGCATCACCTTCGTACCCCTCCGGTAAGGCACAAATCGGTAAATCGGAAATCAAACCGTAAACATTAAAACGAACTCCAACCTTGGCCTGAAACCTCCACCCCAAATGTACCCTCCGGGCCTGCAAGTCTTCGCCCGCCGCCAAGATCATTGAACAAGATATACTTCCGGGAACCATCCTAGGTTATAGTGGAGCATCTAAAGCCTATAGCTCCTTTACAGCGATGAATCATCAACCTCTCTCCTGACCGGCACACAAAAGCATGTCTGATCAGTTCCCTGAACAATTCGAAGGGCGCGCCTTGCGTCCCGAGAAGCGTGGGAAGCACCTGCGAGAAAGCTAGTTGGTCTATCAGGTTTAGGCCACTGGAGTTGGAGAATATGGTGTCGGAGCCTGGTCTCCATCATCACTGGTGCCGCGCACTGCCTTAGCCCCGCCATGCACATTTTTTGCTAGAGAGCCGTTCCAAACTTGTAGGCAACCTGACGAAAAGCAGAGTCTCCTGAACACCCCAATGAAGCCTAAAACTGAAGCCTAAACCTGGCTCAGGACTCGACCAAAGAAGGTTCTGGCTCCCGCTTGGGCGCCTCTGCTGCGAGGCGAATGCACAGCACGCTTAATCAAGCCAAGTTTGAAGATGCGGAAAGCACAAGAAGCACGAGGGTCCATCCAAGGCAACCTTGGCATGCAAAAGCCTCTGTTGCCGGCTCGTCTGGGATATACTGCGGTAGATCTGTATACCCAGAAACACAAGCTGTGTAAGGTCGGGAGTCAGCAACCCAAGATCACCTGTCAGGGCCGCCAAGAGCAGCACAAGGCACAAAATCAAAACAAATCAAATTGAAGCACTTTACTGTAGTCGATTGCGGGGGCACCGCGAGGAAAAGGGTAAGGGAAGAGTGCACAAGGCCAACACACACACGGGACTGTGAAAGAGCTCACAGCTCGGACTCCGCCAGGTGCAGTGAGCGAAGACAAAAACCCTACCACAAGCATCCGCGAACCATCACTGCGGCATTTGCCAAGACAAAAACCTTACCACGAGCACCTGCGAGCCATCACCACAGTATTTGCGGGGTAGGATTCGAGCATCAGGGATGGGAGTTGTTTTGGCGGCATTTGTGCTGTGACCTCTCGGGCTTCAGAAGACCAAGGTCCCAAGTGCGTGTGTAAGGGCTTGCGACGAGCCTCAGTCTACGAATGTCCAGGACGAGATTGTAACCCTGAAACCCAACCCATGCCTATCGGACTGAACACTGCTACCAGAAGCGCCCAAGTTGAGCGACACAAACTTTACACCCGAAGCGCAAACCGTACTGGAGATCGACAAATGACTAAACACCACATAAAAAAATGAGAACACCCTTTCATCATCATGCAAGAAAGTCGCGGCACTGTCCTTACTGGAAAAATCTGTTTCTTATCACCATGTAACACAATCGTTCAAGGCTGCCATCCGATGGTCAGGCTGAGCACTGCCCGAGTTCCCAGCCCACACAGCACGCTTGCCCGAGACGCGCGGTCCGAGCCATCCACATCGTGGGGCCTGGCGCGGATGGCATGGGATTTAGGGCTCCATGGTAAGGGCGTTCGATGTTTTGTCTAGCGTCTAGGGCTTACATCTAGAGTTCAAGTCTCCAAGGACATGCTACATGAGTGTGGAAGCATTCTATATGGTTGCCCCCATGTTTAAAGGATGCTTTGGCCACCCGGTGGCGATATGCCACTGCAATCACAAGAGGTCACCACATCGGCATGAGACAACATCATGATTAAAGCAAGCATCCCCTGCAGGCTTGGTCGACCCAGAACGCGAACCCGAAAACCTCCTAACATCTCCTAACGCTCGAGCCTCAAAGGTGCCAAACCCCTCAACTCGAGCAAACTTCGCGACAGCAATGGGTGTTGTCGTTGTTTAAGGTCCTTGGTGCTGGGGCAGAGAGAAATGCGAAGACTTTGGAATTACACCTGAACCACGAACTACACAGAACCAAAGCTGTGACGGGTACAACTAATCTCCAAGCTCGACCAAGAGCCTCCCATAACCCCGATCAGTAGTATTCCTTCCGGTGGCTCTGACAGGCCCGCCTGACGCCAGGCCTCAGAGTTCAGGACCCGTGGCGTGGACCGAGCTTGATCTATAGGGTTTGGAGCCCTGCGGCGTTAAGTTGAGAAGCTGAGAGCCTGAGTCGCCCTTCGAAGTTTAGGGTGGGAGAGCGAGTGCTCCGAGGATGAGGAGAAGAATCCAGAGTTGTGGACCTGCGCACACCGATGCCACGAACCCCGGATACCAAGAAACCTAGAATACTAGGGCTTCTGTCCCTAACACCACACCTGAACCCACACTCACAAGCCCTCGGCGCACTCCAGCCAAGGACAGCCTGAGCTCGCAGCCCAGGGTGCTCGTTGGCCTCGAATTCGAGGACCGAGCCACTGAGCCTGCATCACCTTACTCGCAGACCGGGTGGGATGCTGAGTCATTTTGAGTTGAGAATTTGGCCTTTCTGGATGTGGGGCTTAGTTCAGGCTGCCAGAGCCAGGGCTTTGGGAGCGAGCGTATTAGGAGTTGTTGGTCTCTTGTCTTTGGGGTCACTTCCTTCAGGTCCCGTATCAGAGCAGTTTAGTGCAGGGCCTTCGGGATAAGCAGAGTCCCGCTTCGCTTGAAAGTCTCACATAGTCTTTGCCCGAATAACGAACAGACCATCGGCCGTATCCGAAGTGCAGAAGGGCGTAGTTGCGGAGTTCAGAACAACCGAAGTTCTGAGCCCGGCTCGACACACTCATACAAACATTCTGGGAAACTCTGTAAAGCTTGAATCTTGAAAGCCGCAGGTGATTCCCGTAAACCGCGATAGGGCCCAGAGTGGTAGGACGACTTTAAAGCGAAACCGGATCATCCGTTTGAACCTCAACGTCTGTAGACTCTAGACTTTCAACCTTGGGTCTAAAACCCGAAGCCTGGAATCCTTAACCCCTAAAGCGTGAACCTCAAAACCCAAACCCCGACACCTCCGAAACACTGGCAGAAATGACCAGGGGACCTAGTAACTGGGGTCCGGTTACTTAAATCTGGCTGGGTTATAAGTAGATGTGACTAGCTACCTTCACGGTCAAGTGAAGGCTCAACTCCCTTTGTACAGCGACTGGCGCTTTGGGATATCAGGGCTCGGGGGGGAGGGCGCGCAGTTCAGGGCTCTTGGTTTTCAAGGCTTGCAGCCCACACAAACCCCAAGCCGCAAACCCTGGTCGTAATCGCAAGCCCAACCCCGTAAGCCTTAGACTTACAGCCCAAACCCTTTCCCCAAGTCCCTGACGGCACCAGCCAGGCGTAGCAAGAACCTAAGCTGCCCAGTTTGGGGCTGAGGGATGTGGGGCTTCGGAGCTAAGAGCTTAGGTTGCGCATAGGTTCTGGGGGGCGCTTTGGTGTTTGGGGTTTCATGGAAGGTTTATGGCTGAATCGCCGGGTCTTCAGGTCTCACGTGCGGAATCTGGGAATAAGCCGTCTTTCAAACGTGTGAGCTTCTCATCGATTCCCCAGCTGAGAACACCTCCCAAGTGCAAAATACAACTTCACTTGATGTTACATTCAAAATAAGCTTGATCTTCAAACTCAACTTTGAATACGTATATTCAACCTGAAACCCTAAATCAAGTTCTTGCTGAAGCACAACGGCGTGTGAGCAAAGCTCCTGCAACAGAGCCGGAGTGTTAGCACGTATAGGGTCGCGGGTCGAGCTGGAGTTTAGGCTTGCAGGCTATAGTGCTAAGAGAGGGCTTCAGCAATAGGATTTGAGTAACTGTGGGGTTCTGAATGTCGGCAGTGGTCTTCCGGGTGCACGCGGATTTGTAGCCGACAATGCGGGCCCAAACCTGTGTGGTGTAGATGTTGGTCCGAGCCTGAGTTTATAAGCCTGTGGATCTATAGGGTTCTTGGCGCAGGTTTTAGAAGTAGAAGTGGGGCCCATTTGATTAATGCAACTAGAGTCCACAATTTCGGGTTTCAAGCATTATGTTTAGGCTTTGATCTGGATCTGGCGGCTTGGCAGGTTTCGGTCTTGGGCTGGGCTTAGGTCTAGGAGTTGTGGTCTAGGCTTCTTTGAGCACAGGGTCTAGGGTTGACGCAAGGGTCCGCACAACCTTCCCCCCTTCCCAGGTCGCAGCAGCTCGGCCGGCGCAAGGCGCTCGAGCACGAGCGCGCACCTCCCTGTCCTCAAGGTCGCGCTGCGTGATGGCGCGGGGAAATTCGAGCCAAAAGAATCCGTGGAAGCACTCATTCAGGGCGCATGGGTCATATTGGGATCTTTGTTGGGTTGGGAGTGTCTGTGCAGACGTATAGCAGATGTCTTCATAAGCCAAGCAGACCAGAGCCAAGCCACGCCAAAATGAGAACTCTTCAAACCCCTGTCTGACCACGAGTGCCCATCCCACAGAGAGCCTGTGCATCTGAAGCCCTTCCCTCAAACGCCTGACAATTGCGTCGAAGGCAGACGGTCAAGACTTACCTAGACCCTCCAATGAAATTCTTCGAGTACTTTGTAATCGGAAAGCCGGAGCGACTGAAGATGAACTACTACGGAGAGTCTACCAAAACACTTTGATGGCTTCCTTGATCGCCTTCGAACTTTTAAACTTCATAGTCGCTGTGAGTTTGACGATAACGCTGTCCACGAGCTTGGTGCAAGAGGCAGTCGCTCCGCACACCATCTCAGGATTCGCGTCGAACATGGTACGCCTTAATCTGAAGGGAATTCAGCCTCCACTGCTGCACCTCTATCCGGCGAACTTCTTTCAAACCTCTAACAGGGGGTCGGAGCTACACTCAATCGCCCTAACATGTCGCATGAATGCTAGACTTACAACATCCGTGAAGCAGATTCTGATCGTGAAGATTTCCGAACAAGGCTTCCCGTTGACATCTTTCGTTAGACTCATTTACGGGTTTCGTTATGCATACCCCCTTTCGACCACCACGTACATGAACGTATGCATCAAGGACTGTCGCTTCATCCACACCGTTTGGAAATCCACTGTTGCAAGAAATTCGTGGATTTTGCCGTCCACGCTCAACCTTGCGCCGCTGTAGCGGGCATTGCTCACAGAAGACTACGGGGTGGGAGATACCGACATGTCAGGATTGTCTTGGCACCTGCTCAAACGACTTTTTGAGCCGCTACAGTGCATCAACACAGTTCAGGTTTATGCAGTGGCCTAGTCGGCATGCGTACTACTGACATCCAGGAAATGCCAAGGCAACATACCAGGAAATGCTAGCATGCTTACTACCCTAAGCCCAAAACTCCCAAACCATGAACCCTAAAGCCTAAAGCCTGAAACTCTGAGCCCTAAAACCCTATCCCTAGAACTGCAAAGCTCGAAAATCCTAAACCCTGAACCCTCAACCCCGAAACCCTGAACCCGAAACCCTAAACCACAAAACCCCAAGACCCCTACACCCCAAACCCTACACCCATAACTCAAAACCGTAAACCTTTAAGCTCTGAACACCCAACGAATGTCTACAGCATCCTTCGAATCTACGGAGCACTACCAGACATCTACCTCGGCAGGTTCTGTCATAGTGAAACATCGAGCGGCATATCCGGACGTTTAAATGATGCCATCATCGCATGTTGCAAGCTTAAGTTTCAAGACTTGCAGGATTCCAGTGTCAGACCCTTCCAGCCCTTTGGCCACAAGGGTTGCTGTGAAAGTCCGGGTCTGACAGCTTCCATGGTAAGCAGAATCACACAGTATGTGTTGTAATCTAAAAACCCTGCCATTGGTGGATACTTTGCTCAGGATTTCCGGCACGAGGCTCGCCGAAACGGAACGATCTTGCATTCAGAGGCAAGCCGCGAGCCCCGAACTGAGAGACCGATCTGCCTCCAAAACGTTTGCATCCAAAGACCACATAAGAGCCTTGCGTCCCCAACTCTTTCATGCTCGCTTCGGTGTCTCGGGTGAGCTTCTCCCGTCACCCGTCCCTGTTACACTGCACCCCGAAAAGTTCAAAGTTGTTGGCTGCAGACACCGTTGAGCTGGGTGCCCAAGCCAGAAGAATGCTACTTCTTCCCCTCACCCGACAGAGTTGAGGCCGTGAAATGCTGGGAATCCGACTGCCAAGGTGCCCGAACCAAAGGCGAGGGCATAAGCCTCAGCACATTCAAGCATAGAGGTGCGATCCACTCCAAAAGAACGCAAGTTGACATCACCGGCGACGTCGATGCGAGCTGGCAAAGTGACATGTGGCGCATCTGAGCAGACCTCTAGTTCGTCCACTGAGCCCCTGCCTCTCTTTCCGACAATCCACATTGCGCCCTCCTTTGCGATGAGGAGCCGCACAGGCACCTTCGAGCAAGGAGAAGACCAGCGCCTAGATAACATGCTTACGTGTATGTATAAATATAGAGAGAGAGAGAGAGAGAGAGAGAGAGAGAGAGAGAGAGAGAGAGAGAGATCTGCACCCGGGGCCATCACCACTGCATTTTTCAAGACACTCCGAGCAATGACCGCCGCATTTGCCAAGACAAAACCTTACCAGAAGCACCTCCAAGCCATCACCGCTGCATTTGCCGAAACCAAAACCTTACCAGAACAACCTGCGAACCATCACCGAGGCGTTTGCCAAGACAAACACCTTACCACATGCAAGCTTCCACGAGATATTTCGGCCACATTTGCCAAGACAAAAACCTTACCACGAGCACCTGCGAGCCATCACCGAGGCATCTGCCAAGACAAACACCTTATCAGAAGCACGCTGGCATTTGCCAAGACAAAAATCTTACTAGAAGCTCGGCGGCATTTTCCAAGACACAAACCTTTATGGAACAACAAAAGCACATAAGCAAAAATTAGGATAGGGATATCCCATATAAGCCCCCTTGTAATGAAGCCCAATAAGGTAGGGATATCCCTATACGATGCTTATGCTTATGTGCTTTTTGGGTCTCTAAACCTTACCACAAGCACTTGCGAACCATCACCACGGCATTTGCCAAGACAAAAACCTTACCACATGCATGCTTCCGCGAGCCATCACGGCAACATTTGCCGAGACAAAAACCTTACCAGACGAACCTGCGAACCATCACCGAGGCATCTGCCAAGACAAAAACCTTACCACATTCAAGCTCCCGGGAGCAATTACGGCGACATTTGCCAAGACAAAAACCTTACCAGAAGCACCTGCGAGCCATCACCACTGCATTTTGCAAGACACTGCGAGCAATGACCGTGGCGTTTGCCAAGACAAAAACCTTACCAGAAGCGCCTGCGAGCCATCACCCCGGCATTTGCCAAGACAAAAACCTTACCAGACGAACCTGTGAACCATCACCGCGGCATTTGCCAAGACAAAAACCTTACCACAAGCAGCTGCGAGCCGTCACTGCGGCACCAGCCAAGACAAACACCTTACCACAAGCACCTGCGATCCATCTCGGCGGCATTTGCCAAGACAAAAACCCGTACCAGAAGCACCCACGAGCCATCCAAGACAAAAACCTTACCACATGCAAGCTCCCGCGAGCAATTGAAGCGACATTCGCCAAGAAAAAAACCTTACCAGAAGCACTTGCGAGCCGTCACTGCGGCATTTGGCAAGGCAGTGCGAGGCCATCACCGCGGCATTTGCCAAGACAAGAACCTTACCAGAAGTCCCTGCGAGCCATCACCACGGCATTTGCCCAGACAAAAACCTTACTAGAGGCTCGACGGCATTCTCCAACACACAAACCTTTGGGGAACAAAAAGAGCACATAAGCAAAAATTAGGATAGGGATATCCCATATAAGCCCCCTTATAATGAAGCCCAATAAGGTAGGGATATCCCTATACGATGCTTATGCTTCTGTGCTTTTTGGGTTATAAACCTTACCACAAGCACCTGCGAACCATCACCGCAGCATTTGCCAAGACAAAAACCGTACCACAAGCAGCTGCGAGCCGTCACTGCGGCATCAGCCAAGACAAACACCTTACCACAAGCACCTGCGATCCATCTCGGCGGCGTTTGCCAAGACAAAAACCTTACCAGAAGCACCCGTGAGCCATCACCGCGGCATTTGCCAAGACAAAAACCTTACCACATGCAAGCTCCCGCGAGCAATTACGGCGACATTTGCCAAGACAAAAACCTTACCAGAAGCAGCTGCGAGCCGTCACTGCGGCATTTGGCAATCCAGTGCGAGCCATGACCGCGGCATTTGCCAAGACAAAAACCTTACCACACGCAAGCTTCCGCGAGCCATTACGGCGACATTTGCCAAGAAAAAAACCTTACCACAAGCGTCCGCGAGCCATTTCGGCGGCATTTGCCAAGACAAAAACCTTACCAGAAGCACCTGCGAACCATCACCGCGGCATTTGCCAAGACAAAAACCTCACCACACGCAAGCTTCCGCGAGCCAATACGGCGACATTTGCCAAGACAAAACCTTACCACAAGCGTCCGCGAGCCATTTCGGCGGCATTTGCCGAGACAAAAACCTTACCAGAAGCACCTGCGAACCATCACCGCAGCATTTGCCAAGACAAAAACCTTACCACAAGCAGCTGCGAGCCGTCACTGCGGCATCAGCCAAGACAAACACCTTACCACAAGCACCTGCGATCCATCTCGGCAGCATTTGCCAAGACAAAAACCTTACCAGAAGCACCCGCGAGCCATCACCGCGGCATTTGCCAAGACAAAAACCTTACCATTTGCAAGCTCCCGCGAGCAATTACGGCGACATTTGCCAAGACAAAAACCTTACCAGAAGCACCTGCGAGCCGTCACTCGGCATTTGGCAATCCAGTGCGAGCCATCAACGCGGCATTCGCCATTTCAAAACCTTACCACTCGCAAAGCTTCCGCGAGCAATTACGGCGACATTTGCCAAGACAAAACCTTACCACAAGCACCTGCGAGCCATCTCGGCGGCATCTGCCAAGACTAACACCTTATCAGAAGCACGCTGGCATTTGCCAAAACAAAAACCTTACCAGAAGCACGGTGGCATTTGCCAAGACACAAACCTTTAGGGACCAGCAAAAATTAGGATAGAGATACCCCATATAAGCCCCCTTTATAATGAAGCCAATAAGGTAGGGATATCCCTATACGATGCTTATGCTTATGTGCTTTTTGAGTCTCTAAACCTTACCACAAGCACCTCCGGACCATCACCGCGGAAATTGCCAAGACAAAAACCTTACCACATGCAAGCTTCCGCGAGCAATTACGGCGACATCTGCCAAGACAAAAACCTTACGACAAGCACCTGCGAGCCATCACCGAGGCATCTGCCAAGACTAACACCTTACCAGAAGCACGCTGGCATTTGCCAAGACAAAAGCCTTACCAGAAGCACACCGCCATTGCCAAGACACAAACCTTTAGGGAACAAAAAGAGCACATAATCCAGATTAGGCTAGGGATATGCCATATATGCTCCTTATAATGAAGCCCAATAAGGTAGGGATATCCCTATACGATGCTTATGCTTATGTGCGTTTTGGGTCTCTAAACCTTACCACAAGCACCTGCGAACCATCACCGCGGCATTTGCCAAGACAAGAACCTTACCACATGCTATAGTAGATATTTTATTGTCTTATCCTATTTTGATATGGTGCATTCGGAGTTCCAGTCTGTTTCAAGCTTAGGGGTTGGGGTAAGTTCTGACAAGCTTGGGATCTTGCATCAGCAGCAACGCTCGCGATCCCGTCCTCTGCACAGCTTCTCTGCGGCCCCGGCCTCTTTCTTGTCCCTGTCCCGCGCCGCGCATGGCGCGCTGAAGAGGCTGCCCACAGCACCTGATCGGGTCTGAAGGGTTGGACCTGCTAGGGCACAACTCTACGTTGTAAGATTCTTGGCTTCTCGCGACTTTGAGATTCGGTTCGAAGATACAAAGATACAAAACAAACAAGGTTGGACGTTGGTGTTACAAACTTACAGTCTACTTGGCATAGACAAAGTCTAAAACACAAAGATAGCGTTACAAGCTTGTAGTGTCCGTGAAAGATACCATGTCTACAATACGAGGATACAACATAACAAGAGCGGACGTTGCGGTTAATTAAATACTTACAGCATGTTAAGAATTTACCAAATCTGAAATAATAAGATACAAAAAAAGGTTGACAATGGCGCTGCATACTTCCAGTGTCCTTACAATTGATAAAGTCTACATGCGAAGATATAAAAAAGGGGTGGAAGTTGGTGTCACAAACTTACAGTGTCCTCAAAATATACAAAGTCTACACCTACGAAGATACAAAGCAAAACAAGGGTGGACGACGTTGCCGCTGCAAACTTACAGCGTCATAAATATCAACAAGGTCTGCAATACAACGATACAGAAAAAACAAGGATGGACGCTGGCATTCCATACTAACAGTGTCCCTCTAAGATATACAACACGAGAATACAGAAAAAAGTGAACGCTTGCATAACAAACTTTGGGCGCCCAGAATATACAAAGCCTACAATACGAAGATACACAAACAAACAAGGGTGGACATTGTGGCTACAAGCTTACAGTGTCCTTAGAGCCGACAAAGTCTACAAAACATAGATACCAATCAAACGAGGGAGGACGTTGGCATTACAAACTTACAGTGTTCTCAAAAATATACCAAGTCTACAGTAGAATAAGAAGATACGAACAACCGAGGGTGCTCGTTGGCATTACAAGCTTACAGCGTTGTCAACATCGACAAAGTCTACAATATGAAGATTCAGAAAAATGAGGGTGCATGCTGGCGTTACATACCTACGGTGTCCTGATAATATATACAACACGAATATACAAACCAACAACGGTGGACGTTCGCATGACGAACTAATATACAAAGCTTACAATACGAAGCTACAAAAATGCAAGGGTGGACGTTGGCATTACAAGCTTTCAGTGTCCTTACAATACACAATCTACAATACGAAGATGCAAACAAACAAGGGTGGACGTTGGCGATACAAACTTATAGTGGCCTAAAGCACGACAAAGCGTACAATGCGAAGATACGAAACCAGACAATGGTGGATGTTGGCGTTACAAGCTTTTCGTGTCCTCAAAATATGCACAGTCTGCAATACAAACGAACAATGGTGGACGTTGGCCAGTAGCGTCCTTAAACTTGACACAGTCTACTTGCCTTCTCACACGGCGACGAGGCAAGCCGCTCCACCTCGGACCGTAAACCAACAGAGCTGAAAGTCGAGTAAGCTTCAGGAAAAGTCCAAAATTCAAGACCCAGAAGTCGCGAACAAAGTCAACAGCCTCGGCCTTTTATGCCACATGAGCACGAAAGCCCTCAAACTCTAATCATCTACCAACATGGGCCCCGGGACCTGACCCACAGAGCAAGTGCAGACTCTGCCATGCTCGTGGCTTCTAGGGGTATGCAACTGCTACGGCAAAATACCACAGCACTGAGCTCAGCAGCCCAACTTCAAGCTATTGCCACTTCGGTTCCACGACGTTCTACGGACACGGACACAGAATCACACATTATGTGTTGTAATCCAAAAACCTGCCATTGGTGGATACTTTGCTCAGGATTTCGGGCACGAAGCTCGCCGAAACGGAACGACCTTGCATTCAGAGGCAAGCCAGCCTTGCAAGAGCTTCTCCCAAACCCTGAAGTCCTGAATTAGACTAATCAGATGCTGAACTCTCGACCTCAGCTTAGGGAACGGCATGACCACATGATCCAAATCTCACCTGCAAGGTCGTCGAGGGTCTAGGGAACGGATTTTGGCAATTTGAAGCGCGGGGAGTCAGGAAAAGTCAGTTCGTTCCGGGCCAAATTGAGATCAAGCGGAGCTGCACTGAGCATGATAAAGCTTTGGGTTGAGTTTGTCTTCTGGCCTTTTCGAGCGCTTCTCACGATGAGGTATTTCTTTAAGCGGTGCTTTTGGCTGTTAGTCTGAGGGCCCTGGCTAAAATGCAGAAGTTTAATTTCGGAAGCAGTGCTGTGAGCTTCTTAGCTGTGGCAACGCAAGCTGGACCGCAAACCCAAATCATGGGACTAGTCCTAAACCCATCGGCCAGAAGCACGCTTTTGCTCAGTGCAAATTTGGCACAAAGCTTAAGTGAGGCCCCTCGCAACTCAAGTCCGGAAGCTTCATCTGCGCGATGTCCTGCAGCCCGTGAGGCCCCAACCAAAGTTGAAGGTTTGTGGACGCGGGTTTGGGGTAACTGTAAACTCCTAGGCAGAAATCGGGAAGCTTTGATCCCTCGAAGCCTGATATCACCCTGGCTGGTATCGACTCAGTTTCAACCACGTTGCTGGGTGGAGGAAGACACGATGCGTGCCAGAAGCTCTTTCAACGCTCCAGGCCGGTCGAAGTCCCAGCAGATCGTAGGTGGCTGCACAACATCAGCTTCGTCAAAGTACTCTGACACAAACCCGTGATGCAATGCATCCCTCGCTGCGATTCGCCGCTGCGGATTGAACTGCAAGAGGGCGTCCAGTAGACTGCGATTCTGTTCTGTTGCCAAGGGGAACAACTTGCCCCAAGGCTGCTTTTCGAAAACGAAACCAGGCTGTTGGAACAGGTCCGAAACACGTTGTGCGAAGCAGTCTTCCCGTCTGGGCGTTCCTACCACTCGAAGAATCTGTTTCAATTGATCCACCGAGCTGTTGCCTGGAAAGAGCACACGTCGGCCCGTCAACTCCGCCAGGACGCAGCCCAAGCTCCAGATATCTACAGAAGACGTGTGGGTGAAGGCTTCCAGGAGGACTTCTGGAGCCCTGTACCAGCGTGTGCCGACATAGTCTGTGCGCACTTCCTCTTTCGAGCCCTCATGGTCTGGCCAAGGCCCCCTCGCCAGGCCAAAATCGCACAGCTTTACGTCGCAATTTTTGTTCACCAAGATGTTCTGCGGCTTCAAGTCGCGGTGGACGACATCGCTTCCATGCATGTACTGGAGGGCAAGCAAAATACCATAGATCCAGAATTGGACATACTCCTCTCTCAACTCCTCCCCTGAGTAGATGACATTGAACAAGGTTGCATCCATCAGCTCCATCACCAGATGCACCGTCGCCGGTTCCTTCAGAGCCACCACCTCCTTCAAAAACACAATGTTGCTGTGATGCAAGGATTTCAAGATGTTGATCTCACGAAGGCAGCGCCTGGCAGCAACACGGTTTGATGCAAAGTTCTGCATTGTCTTTACCGCCACGTCTTCCCCAGACAAGCTGTGGTACTTGCTCACCATGCCATACGTGCCAGAACCCAACACCTTCACAAAGCGCAAGTGAGGAAGGTCTGCATGCACAGTGTGCCTGCCACTTCGCAGGAGGGCAGGCAACACCTCCGCCGTGGGGAACAGCTCCTCAAAGCAGTACTGCTTTGAGCTACTCCGCGCGTGGTCCCGGATTGCCCTCAACGGGGGCTCCTCAGCTTGTCCGAGCACGTGCTTGAAGCAGAAAGGGACAGTGGCGGCAAGTCCTCCGGTGCCCCACACAATCCAGGTGGCCAATGACGGTGCTTGCGAGGCTGCCGCCGCAAGGAAGACCATGCTTGCAGAGCGACGTCCGATCCACAGAAACCTGAAGTGGAACAGTGTCGACACTACTCATATCACCGCTGATCATGCAAATCACTAATGTTTCGTTGGTAACCGGCAAAATATTCGGATATGGATCGTGGATAGCCTCCAGTTTCCAGTGCAGGGACGGCTACACAATCGGGCTGGAGAAGAAAAAGCACTGGCGCCAACGGCACTTTACACCTGATTCGCATGCTCGAGAAGGGAAGTTTCCATGAAGCATCCACGCAATGGAAAGCTAGATAGATTTTGGAATTGGCGACGCCCGTGCAGACCGTGTAAAGTTCCCAGGTAATAAGCTTCATGCGGGACTTATCAGTGAGGGTCGTGGAAGCAGTACACCCACGTCTACTCAATCTACACGTAGCACCCTTGTCGCTCACGTCCCAAGAGAACAGTCCTGCCCCGCGATGCTTGGGTTGGCACAGACTCGACGGGTCAGGAGGGTCTGTTGAAGGCAATTGTGCGATGCATGTATGTATGTATGTATGTATGTACGTCTGTGTGTATGTCTGTATGTCTGTATGTCTACAAGCATCTCTTGGTGTATGTGTCTGTATGTATGTATGTATGTATGTACGCACGTATGTATGTATGTACGAATGCATGTACGTATTATGTATGTATGTATGTCTGTATGTCTACAAGCATCTCTTGGTGTATGTGTCTGTATGTATGTATGTATGTATGTACGCACGTATGTATGTATGTACGAATGCATGTACGTATTATGTATGTATGTATGTATCTACGTATGTACGCATGTACGTATGTACGTACGTATGTATGTATGTCTGTGTGTATGTATGTTTGTACATATGTATGTTTGTACGTATGTATGTATTTATCTATTTATGTATGCATGTATGTGTATGCATCTGTTCGTGTATGTGCCCGTATGTATTATATGTATGCACGTTTGCATGCATGCATGTATGTGCGGATATATGTCCGCCCATCCGCGCGCACGCATGCACACATGCATTCACAAATTCGAGAGCTGTGCTGCGCAGGACGAACACAGAATAAAGAGCATCGCCAAGGGCATACTTAGCCAACTGCCAAGTGAGACTTCGCCTCTGCGCCTAACTAAGTCGGCGAGGTTGTTGAGGACTTGGAACAATGACAAAACTCCCTAGCAACCCCAAAATACTGAACTTACACCTCTGCAGCATGGCCATGTCCCGAGACTCCGAAACTTCTCAACAAAGGAGGGCTCGGTGCTGTTACAAGGAATCCCGTCTATGCAACCTTGAAGGCCGGTCAAAAAGGGAACCTGCAGTTCAGGGGGTGTACTCAAACCTCTCAACTCCTCTTGACACTGCAAAACCACAGGGTCACTCAGAAAGGAAATCTAACACCCTTCAAGAATCTTGAAGCCCTTCTACACCCTCAGCTCCAAGCCTCACAACCCCAAACATCCTTCAACCCTCAACCGAGGGAACCCACACTTCTACCTACAAAAAGAGGACGGCCTTGGTTGCCGCTTCCATGAGGCGTCATGCTCGCCTGCACGAACGAAGCCTGTCCGTCGACCGCTTTGATTTGGGGCTTCCGGGAGTCGGTTCGTCGGGCCTGGATCTGACGGGTTACGCTAGAGAGGCGTCCCCATGGCCACGTACGACGGTCTCAGAATGCCCTCGAAGATGAGTTTCATCCCCTAAGCGCATGGCATTTAAATGCTCGACTAATGTTCATGAAGAAGTCCAAAAGTCAAGAGCCAGAAGAGCCCGAAAGCCTTCAAACTCTCAGCATCTACCTAGATGGGACGAGCAAGATTTCGCGCCTGTTTGGCGGTGTCGAGGGTTCAATTGCTTTGAGGTCTGGCGTGTTTGATTTCAGATGGCACATGGACGGCGATGGAGGTCGAAGAAGCCAATCACATTCCGGTTGAGGGGCTTTGGGGACGAGGGGCTTTGTGTCAAAGGGGTTTCACGAGTCTTCGGTCCCGATTCCGACACATAGCACACCCCGCTCATAAGCCGCAGACTTTTTCTTCGCTGAAAATGCTTCCCATGTGGGAAAGAGTTGGAATGACACCTGTGCTTGACCAGAAACAGCTGAAAACATGCACACTGTGGCAGCAGTGTGAATCGAGCTGATGCATCAACACTTCTGACAATTCTGTGCTTTCGGAAGGTACTGCTTTCGGAAGGTCGAAGCGAAAACGTGACTGTTCATCAAAAACCCCGAACGCATCCTGCGCTGCAGAGCTGCTCAAGATTGCCAAACCGCCGAAGGAGCCTGGAAGTCTCCCGGCTGAGGAGCGGCTCACAACCTGCCACGCTCAGGAGCCGTCGTTTCGGGCTTAGGGTTCGGGCAGAAGGCTGAGGAAGGAGAGCAGCAGGTTGGCTTCCACTCATTATGGCGGTAGGTCTACACCGAAAGAATCCACAAGCAGCCTTGCTCTCGACCCCACACGACTCGGCGGCTGTGAGGTCACCTGCTGCGCGAGACTTACTCAGAACCTGCACACAGCGTGACGGAGCCCACCAGGATTGTTCAACTGATCAGGAGCGCAAACACAAAACACCCAGAACAGTCTGCCCGAAAGTCCACAAACACGAGCGCAACCGCAGCTGTCCCAGGATAGCTTTCTTTGACCAGCTTTCGACAAAAGACAGACATCCAAGACAACCAGAACAGCTTTCTGCTGAAGCGGAGGGTCTAAGACTTGGAACAGTTCTGCTTGCGACCACTTCGGCCTTGGGCCAGGACCACGCGAAATCTGTGTCAGGTCGAAGATGGGGCAAATGTTGCGGCACCGCCTGTGCATCGCGCGATCTGTCATGGGAACCACGCAGGGAAGTCTGCTGTTTTGCCTTGGCTTGCCCATCTTGCCCTTGGTTCACGAAAAGCCACCTGGCTGCTGCTGCGAAGAGGTCGAATATGCACTCTATGTGCCAGAACTGCTTTAGGGGAGCCGTGCAAGATGGCATGAAGAGACTTGACTGGGCACTTACGCGGCCAGCTCCAGAAGCTTGCAAAAGTAAGAGCATCGGACACTGGCCATGCAGCAATTAGACGCGATTGTTGGTAAGACTTTTGCAGTGGTGCATGTGAAGCAACCGACCTCAGCCCAGACGAGAGTCTCTCGGGTCGTGAACATCACCTCGGCCAACACTTCCAATTCTGTGACAGTACAGCCGGTGCTTAGCGCACCAGTGCCGTAACACTGAAGCCCGGAAATGTCCGACCGATCTGCGCTTCATAACCCCCCCCCTTCCCATTTGTCCCACCGGCAAAAATACTCCAGATTATCTCCTGCGCATCACTGCCGGTTCACCTGGCTGTCATCCTCCCGAGCTGACAGAAGCCAAACGAAGCGTTGTGAACAGCCTATACCTGGCTCTCCCAGCCCAGCCTAAGAAGCTTCCCCACCGCACATCCATCCCCGTCGCCCCCGTTGCAGGAAAGCATTCTTCACTTGGCAGGCAGAAGTCACTGGCGTGGTAAAGTTCTGCAGCCCTGTGGTCCGTGCAACCGCTCAAGTCCAGAGACCCCTTCCCCAAGTCAAGAAAGCCCCTTCCCTCGCCATTGACGTTGTCATGCTCTTGGCGCCTGACCAGGCCGTGCACACGCCTCGCCGAGGGCTCTGTTTGTAAGGCTTGTACGGACCGCACTGGGCCTACGGGTGTATGTGCTCCGGGGCACTGGCCTTCAGCCGGATGCTGCCATGGAGTGGACACCCAAACTGCTAGTTCTGTGTACACTCATCAGCCTGTTGCAGCTTGGCTGAGCTTCGTGGCTTGGGGCTTAGAAGGTTTAGGGTGTCGTGGCTACGAGATGGCACTGACATACGATAAGACCTGATTCTGGGAGTCAGCATGTGCACGGCCGATCAGCTTGGGCCAGGGGACGGCTCCAAGGATGCAGGAGTAAGTGCTCAGGGACTCAGGGCTTTTATGCTTTTCAGGTCTCGGCTCAAGACGAAGGGTTTCGAGCGTTGGTGGTTTCAAAATGAGCAACATGAAACACTTGAAATATTTTGTGGGTCTGTTTAGCAGCTTTGCGACCCGTTCAGAATACTCAAACAAACCTAAACGGTTCAGACAATTAAATGCCGGCATGTAATATTACTGGTTTAATTACTTCGTCGAGCTGGTTTGATTCAAGGGTTTGATCCTTTTACTTGTGGTGGGAAGCCTCGTTCCTTAGGATACATGTAGTACCGATTCCAATTCTTGTCATTATTTTCAGTAGTGTCAGTGGCTTGCGATGTAGAAATGACATAATTGGAACCAGTAATTTACATTATGCCAGCTGGGGGTGGAAATTATCCTACTTTGGCGCTTTCTCAGGCCAGAGGTATCAACTTGATTATTCCGGACATTTCTAGTTGACTCGGTACTGGTTGTACGTAGTGCTGATTTATTGGGCGGTTTGCGATGACAAGAACGACATAGGTAACGTCAGTCCCGCTTTATGTGTTTGAAATCTCTATGTTTAATGCAGGAATCCTTGGTGGCAAGGTAAACCCTAAAGGGATCTCTCGTATGCACATATATATATATATATATATACATACATACATACATACATGCATACATACATACATACCATACATACATACATACATACATACATTTGTGTGTGTGTGCGCGTGTATATTTAGTGCATATGTGAACAGATGTGTGTGTGTGTGTATCTGTATGAATACATATATATATATATATATACATATATATAGATATAGATATATATATATATATATATATAGATCTAGATATAGATATAGATATATATCTATAATTATACACACACATATGTATATATATATATATATATATTAGTACATGTGTTTGCATATGCAAATAGACTTTTTCTTGCTGGATGGCTTAAGATCGGTGAAGACGCCCCATGCAAACTCAGACAATGAATTCTGGTGAAACCAGCGAGAAGCTCAAGAACAGGGGCTTCGGAGGCCGTCGCGGACACGAGCAAATGTACGTTTATGAACATGGGTTCGT